AAGCCCAAACTCTACCTAAGCCCACCTAAATCCGTCTGAAAGAAACTGTTTTATGGTTTCAGGACGTTGAACCATATTCGTGTTCAATCACGTTCAGACCGATCCTCAGGATCTCCTTCATTCAGTCCTTCAAACAAATCAGAGGGGAGCATCTTCTCGGCCACGCCCTGCGCTCGAGCACGAAATATGCGCCATTTGCATGAGCAGACCTGCACATTCTGTGGATGGACACAATTTGCAAAACACACCAGTTGGGATTGGTACAGCCCTGGAACAACCCACAAATTGGTGCGAAATGCATTTTGTCCATCCGCAGAATGTTTGGGTTTTGAACTCATTCCTTTAACGGAGAAGGTCAACTCCCAGCTTTTTACTCAGGTTGCAACCTGAAGGAAGAAAGGACCAAGGCGAACACTTAGCTTTTCTGGAGACGATTTCTGGTTTGCAGAGCTTTTTGTTGTCGACCCACTGCCCTCCTTTGAGTCAAGGCATCCAAACAGTTTAGCCACAGCGCATTCATCTGAATTATGTATCTCTGGACAGGTGACCCTGGTACGTATGATAGTATGCATCAACTCCTATGGAGATGGTTTCCTCTTGCATCCCTTTAAAAAGCAACCAAGAGGTGTTCCCCCAAAGAAACCCTGTGTCGTTATCCCACACCGGTTGCCTCTTTGGATCTTTTGGCAGCCTTGGTGAGCTCGTTTTGCCATACAGAATGCAGATATCCCAAGTGGCGGGAAATGGATTTGGTCCATCCGCAGTGTCCCTGGGCCCGAAGAGCAACCGCGACCCAGAACCCGAAAACGCCCGGAGCCGCCCTTTTGAACGTCTCACCATGGTAAAGATCCTTTACTTAAGGATCCCGTATTTCAGGTTTTGGACATATTGTAATATGACGGAAAGCAACCTTAGGTCGATAGGAGTTGGGGTTAAAATAGTCGGGGGGGGCGGGGGGGGGGTGAAATCTGGAGTAGCTGATGCCGGAGATGCATTTATGCATTTGTTGCAAAGTTTTTTCGTGCCATGTTCGCGTTTCTTGTTCTTTTTTCAGGTCTGATTCTAGCAGTGGTCTAGTCGCGAGCGCCTGATGCGGCTGGGATGCTGGCGGTGTGCTGGAGATGCTGGCCGGTGATCCCAAAAAAGCCCCCCCCCCTTTTTCAGGATTTGCTGATAGATGAACCCTATGATGGTTGACAAACCACTTATGAACTGTTGCGAAGCGGGATTTTGGCCATCCACAGTATCACCAGGGCTTTGGGCCTATGTTCCCATTTGAGGTCTTGGTGCACCCCTTTTGTCTTCTATGGTATAAACATGTGAAAATCCGCGCAGAAGAAGCATGGAGAAGTTGCGGGTTGGTGAATTTCATGTGAAGAAAACGGAGGGATTCCGTGATACCTTTAAAGGCCTCCCTTTCAAGTGATGAACTTGTCTTGGTTGCATCTGTCCCAAAAAAGACGTCCCAAAGTGACCGTGCGTGCGGCTCGCCGGTGGGTTCCCATTTTGCACAATTGCCTGTTCTGAAATGAACAGCCTCCAAGCTTCCTTTCACAGGTTTCCACACCAGGGGAAGCGCTGCTAAGGCAAGAAAGTCCTTCCACAGTGGAAAAAGCAACAACCCCAGGGTTCAGCTTTGACAACCCTGAAGGGTAAACAACGGTGATTATATGAAGCCCCATGCTTTGAATGGCTTGAATCCCAAGCCATGTTTCACAGAGCCCAATCTGCGAGCGCGTCGCGAGCGCCCGTCTCCAAGTCGCGAAGTCACAGGATCGACACGCTGCAGCGGCTGTCCGGGCTATCACGCCAGGCGATCCGGGAGGGCGGAAGGGGACTGGGGTGACTTCCTGAGTTAGGCTTCGTACCTTTTTTTCGGGCAACCAAAAAGTTTGGTTGCTTTGTTGGGCCAATCTGGAAAACAAGTTTGGTGTGGCCAATCCACTCAGGTTTCGTGAGTTCCCTTAATTTTTTGGCAGCCTCCCGGTTCCAGCCAGGGAAAGAAGGAGCCGATGCGTGCTTCGCTTGATTTCTTTGAGTGCGAAGCGTTGGTGCTTAGATCTTTTTAGTCGGTGTAGTGGGGTTAGGCTTGTAGGGCTTTCACTCCGGTTCCTTGGCCTTTTAGTTGTTTTCAGGGTTTCCGCCATTTTCCATTTTTGGAAACCAAAGTGGCGATTTCAATTGGCACCACCAATAAAATGATCGACTTTTGCGGGGGGAATCCAGTGGCCCCCGTTAGTCAAAGTTCTAAAAGGTAATCTCCTTCTATGTCCAAGTCTTTTAACACTAAGGAAAAGGCACGTTCAGGTTCAAGTCTTCCAAAGGTCCCATTAAAAATGCAGGCTCCTCTCTGATGCGCCGAGTTGATGTCCAAAACTCGGTGGCAAATGGGTGGCTGGTCTTTCTTTTGTGGTATGCGTTTTTGGGTGGTGTTCAGGGAAGCCAAGAGGGAGAAATCTTCTCTCTCTTTTTTTTTTTGGGGGGGGTCCAACCTTAAAACAGACAGACACCCAAACAAATTGTGACCTTTGAACTTGCTGTGATGTGATGCTAACTGAACTTGGTTGGTTTTTGGTTGACTTTTGACCGTTTGTTTTGTTGCTCCCCCACAAGCTAGCAAGCAGTCTGATTTTGCACTGGGTCAAGGTTGCATTTGTTTGGATTCCTTTGCTTTGAGTTGCGTTCGTGGTTTCATGTGTTTCCCATGCACTGTCACGCGTGGTTCACAGATTACTCTCCTTTTCATCCTTCTTTCAGCACAACACTTTCCTTTCGGGTTTCGCCAACTCCGCGGCTTTCAAAGGGCGTTCTGGCTCGGAAGCAAAAGGGTGTGTCTTATATTTTTGCGACGGCGCCAGTTTTGGGGTAAAAAGGCAACAGGAAGACAGTGAAGCCATTGTTGAGTCGGTCCGATTCCTACTTAGACAACGCCTTAAACAAATGGAAGCCAAAGGAAACCCGGTGAAAACAATTTTGAGTAGGTCCGATTCCCATTTGAGCCACAATAAATCCTAAGAGAGAATCCCAAACCATGAATGGGTGCCTTCGCCGCCTTGTTAATTCTAACATGGACATGGTTCTGGAGATCGACCATTTTAATATCGATTGGTTTTGATTATGACTTGCTGGTGCTTAGTAGGGAATGACCTTCCGGGTGTCGGGAATGAACCTGGGGATTCCCTTCAAGGAAACCGTAGGGGATGGTTTAAATCGGGGTCATTCCAACTCATTTTTTGCCGAGAACCAGCACGATGATTCATTTTGGAGACTTAACGCAGGCGTTCGGCTCAAGCCACTTGCCGTTAAAGTTTGCACTCTTGACCTTCACTGCCGGGAGCCCGAATTCGCTTCACCGAGTGCGGCGAGAATTTGCCAGTTCGCTTCGGCGAAGGGAAGCTGACTGGGATAGGTTGGGTCTGCCCATATTTTGTTGAAACAATGGAAGCTATGGGGTTTCTGCCAAAATTGGCGATAAGGGCCGGTTTTGGAGGGTTGCAGGAAGCTGATATGCTGTGATGCCTTGTCGCAAGTGTTTTGCGTTTGTGAGGTTCCACGTTGATTTGCAGACGAAAACATCCTTATTTCACCCCCCCCAAACCCAAGCTTAATTGACACAAGCCCGAAGACCTCCTTGGAAAGGACTGCCCCTGTCTTGGTTGCATGTCAATGGGTGGAGTTGAACAAATCCCCCTTGAATTGAGGGGTCTTTTCGCCTTGAAAAGGGGGTTCAAAAGGCAACGAATGCTGCAGGTTGGTTACCCACTTTGGGAGCAGCCAAATTTTGGTTCAACCAAACAAGGCCGTGACCTTGTGGTCTCGCACAGCCAACCTCTGCTGAACTGAGTGAGGGACACTTTCAAATGACAAAGTGATCTAGAGGGCCGTAGATCTTCTGTCTTTTTGGGTTCTCCGTAGAGTCCCTTTTTTTGTGGTGAGATCCATTCAAGAGTTTTAGCTTTTTTGAACAACACATGAATTTGGCTGGTTTACTGGCATTCCGGCTCAAACATCTGAGCTCAGCGAATCCGATTTTCCGATTTTCCGGCCAGGCCGACTTTGGGCGTGTTTTTTCTCGCTGAACACAGCCGCTGTGAGTTTTTTCGCATCGGAAAACATGTAGCATCTTCCCCAGTGATGTTTTGAAAGGACATGGATATGGACATATCTGGTTTTCGAGTGAAAGCTTCAGCAAAGTAGTGTTGCTCTGAACTGGTTGTAGTCAGACGTTTGGGTCTACTCAAGCGGGGTATTGGAGGCCTATTCAATTCCTCCTGGTAAGCCCTCCCCCTTGGACCACCCCCAGAAGTAAGGAACGGACAATGGTCCCCAACCCAAACTCGTGATGGCCTTTTCTGTCCCTTCCAGGTATCTTCCCTGGTAGGGGGGGTTTTGAAAGTGCCCACTTTCGACACAACCCAAAATGGTTTTTACATCCAGTGCCCAGTGCTTGGTGGTTTGTTCTCACCAAACATCAGGTAATGCTCAGTTCCTCAGTCGGTACCCCTCCGAACCACCCAACCAAATCACCAACTAGAGGGAGCAGGGGTTGCCTCCGATGATACTGTATATATTTGGGTAGACTAAGTAACATGGACCGGAGTCAGACCATATTATTTTCTGTGTACCCCTTGTTTGTGGGTCAAGGGAAGCTGATAACCCATGGAAACCATGCCCCCGACCTCCAACCACGAAGCCAAACATCTGTATGAATGGCCAGTGACAAGCCAAACTCCCACTGCCTCTCTTTTAATGGCATGAGACAAGGAAACCTGAAACAAACCACCAATTGCAGAGGAACACAAACACACACTCACGCACACGCACAGACACAAGAGAGTGTCCTTTTTGGGGGGACCCTTTCCCCCAAAATGGTGGGTTTCCTTTTGGTTTCCTTTAAAACCACCAACAAAGGATACCATCAAAAAAGACACAGAAACAAAACACCCTGAGAATGCACAATCTAATTGCCTGCCCCTTCAGGTCACCGCGACACCCAACCCATGACGGTGTCAATGCCAATGAAGCCAGGCGAGTCCGCGCGCGCAAAAGCATTGGATTGGGGTGATGGTCCCACAAAGCTTTGAGGTGTCCTTTGTTTGGTTAGTTTCATTGGACATAGATGGGTTCCACTGGTTTAGATTTGTCTTGTCCAAGTTGCCACGACCATCTATTTTACCAAAAGGACATCTATGGTCTTGAGGGGTTCTCAAAATGTGTGAACCATTTGGAGGGTAAGTTGGTGAGATTGAGGATGTTGCTTTCGGTCACTGTGATGTTGACCCGGCCTCATGACCGATTCCTGACTCAGCCATTCTCTGGAAGCGAAAGACCATCATTGGCGCACGCCCTCCATGAACGGTGGGTCCTTTGTTTCAAGCTAAGATTTTCACGGATCCAATTTGTTGGCTCCTTTTTCAACTGAAGGGGCCTGTTTTTGTTTTAAATGGAGCTCATGCTTTCTCAGAAGGGAGGTACCCTTTTCGGCTTTGGAGCCCATTCAGATGGCCCCCCGGTTAGAAACCCCAGCAGTGAAGCTCCGGACAAGGTGAGGGGAACCTGGACACCGGTTTGCCCATGTTTCTCGTTCCGAGGGTGAGTCGTATCGCCCCATAACACATGGCATAAGGAGCACACTTCCGCAGCTCCAGCTCCTTCTTCGCAACGTTGTAGCTCGAGTGCCCAAAAGGAACATGTTCATTACTACGAACACCATCTTTCCCGGCCCTTGCCTCCAGGTTCAGAAGTGGCGCTTATCAGGGCCCTGATTTGGTTTGCTTCTCAAGTGGAAGCTTTCCGGCTTGTCCAACCGGCCCCAGAGTGCCTTTTGGAAGAGCGCATGCCGAAGTTCCCAGGTTTGTAACTTCCCGTGGATTTTCAGGTTTCTCAAAATCGAAAAGATTGGACTTCCCCCCCCCCCCCCCCCATTTTTTGGTTGGGTGGCTTCCCTTGTTCCCCTAAATTCCTGCCAAAACGGTTCCTATCTTTGGGGTTCCCTGAAAGTGGAGCTCGAGTCGGCAGGTCTGGTGGTGAAGCACTCTGACGAAGCGTCCACCGATGCAGGTTCTTCTGAGGAGGCCGTGCGGTTTGATCGCTGAATCCCTACGGGGGGCAAACTGGGTTGGGGGGGGGTGGGGTAACTGGGAGGGGGTGGGGCGGGCAACTCCCTTGTTTAGCCCGAACAAAAGCTTATTAAGGGTTTATCCTTAGCTTATCCCAGGCTTATCCAGTGAGCCCCCCTCGAGCCCCCCCAATTCGGGGTCCATGCTACAATAGATTTCAACAGGAATATCGACTGAATAAACCTCTGGGTGGTCAAGCGCGTGTGTGCCCCCTTTGAGGGGGCTTAACTTTGACGTCCAAACCACCAAACCAGACCTCTAGCTAGGGGCAAGGTGATAGGTGACATGATTGGACTCTGTTGTCTACAATCATTCGGGTGGATGCATCTCTTGTGGCCACTTTTGAGGTGGTTCCCCATGGGCCAGCACTCGCATGCAAAAAGCGCACCCCTTTTGGTCCGCCGGTGCAGAGGCCTTCCATGGGGTTCTGAGAACAATGACAAGCAGTCTGGTCCCATGTCTGAGGTTCACAGGGAGAAATATGCTCAGTTTCTGTGTCATTGTTAGTCTACCCTAAAATATATACAATATTGTAGGCGATAGGAAAAAGGGGAACCTTGTTTTGGTTGTTGATTTTGAGGAGAACCCTTTAAAACAAGCAAGGAAGGTCCGGGAGACTCACATCACCAGACTGAATGCATAAGTCTAAGTAGAAACCTCTCCCATTGCTGGGATGCCCAGTCTCATCGCATCAAAGCGTTGGTGCTGTTTGTCGGTCCCCAATCATGGTTTGACATGTGTGCTTTTGATATGGAGGTGCTATTTTATATGTACGTATAATGCACACCTGTAAATTCAAGAATGCCCTTGTTACTTGTTCGTGTGGGAAATTTGGAGACCCCCTCACGTCCCTCCAAAATGAACCATAGACTGCCAGTCGCAAAGTGGCTGCCTGCTGAAAGTGGGAAATTCCCCGTCTCATGATGGTTTTTAGTTGGGCTCGAAGGTTGAGCAAAAATGTGTCGAGACTCTGGCCCCACTGAAAAGGAAACCAACGGGAGGTTGTTTGAACATGTTTGAACAATACTGGGCCAGACTTAGACGCCCTGCAGGTTTGTTCATCCGTGCACCCTACTGAAAACCATGTCCACCCACGGGTGCCTAGTTAGACTTTATGCCTTATGCCCATGTTTTACTAATTACCACAACATTGCTCCTTGAATATAGTGTCCAGCGTCCGCAGAAATTGGGTTCTTTCTGTAACCTGGGAGTCCCCTAAGCGAGCGATATGCGTCTGAGTTGGGTCAGAGGGTCGGTGGCTCCCAGCCATCCGGTTCCCCAGGTGTTTGCTTCCTTTAAGTCGGTTCAGGGGCAATTTACGCTAAGCCACTCAAAGTCTTATCGACTTTTCGCAGAGGATCTTGAGGGTGTGTTGGCACTAAAACATGTGTGACTCTTAGCAGGGGATCTTGAAATACTTTTTTCCACGCCGAAAAAAACGACGCCGTGCCACGGCGATCCGCTCGAATCGCGGAGTCGTGAGGTTTTGCCCACAAGACCTGCAGGCCGCCCGGGGGTTTGGCTCGGTTTGACTCGGATGCGAAAGGGGAGGGGTCTCCATTTGACTCCCCAAGACCACCTCCAAAAGGGTACCTTGAACAAAGAAAATTCACCCTGTTTCAAGTTTTGGGGGTAAATATAGCGCAGACTTAGAGAAGCAGAAGCTGCATTAAATGCCCAAGCGTTGGTGAAAGGGAAGCCAGGCCCCCCCAAAGGGACCGATATTCGTGGGCCCCGGCCCTAAACAGTTTCCCCGGGTACGCGAAGGTTGAGGGATATCCGTTCCAGTTCTTTCAACATTGGTTTGGGACTCCCATGGAAACCACAAGTTTGGGTCAGTGTTCCGGACAATCAAAGGACGGTTCCCCCACTTTTTGAGAATCCCTTTGGCGCAACATAGGGACCTAGTCCCAATCTGCTGTTTGGCTTGGTCTTTAGAGGGAATCGTTTTTGCCCCCCAGCCTTTGCTTCAAGAATCCTTGAAACAAATTGGTGCTTAGTGAGAATTGAGGGTTTAAGACCAGTTCTTGTAGCCAAGAGGCACCCCAACCCACACCAAGCCACCAAGGCCTGAGATGATTATTGGCTGGCGAGAAACGCAAGCCCGGTCTCAGCCAGGGACCTTTCCCAAGGACAGCAAGAGTCAAAGCGATTCGGGGTCAAACCCTGGAGGTTTGATTTTCCATGTGGTAGACGAGTTCTGATGTCCACTAATCTTCTCCCCACCGAAGTCTGATGGCACCGCTACGCTCCAAACCACTACCCAGACCCCACAGGGGAAAAAACATATCAACTTTAATTCACTGTTTTGTTTGTGCATTGGCACCTTTCAGAACACTTTCTTCATTCTCGTTGCCATTGCAAGTCCTTTTGGCAGGGTGGTGTTTACAGGGGACATACTGTGGATGGACGAACTCCTGCACCACCTAAGAAAGCCAGGTATGATGAACTCCCTCATGGATTCAAAGTGGTGCAGGCTTTCGTCCATCCACTGTACATATGTGTATATATATATATATATGCGCCAGGGTCAACAGTATTGGCAGGGTTCCTGAAAGAACCATGACCCACCGCGGCATCCACCGGAGATGGTCACACGTTTGCCGGAGAAGTCCAAGACGGTGGATGGACAAACTCCGCTCTGACGGCCAGTTGGTAGGGTTTGCAAACTGGTGAGGATTTTTCCCAGTACCGCAAGCGTTCCTCTATTCCGTGTACCACAGCCTGAGCGCTTCGGGAGTTTCTACCATGTGAGCCACAATCCTAACCAAACGCGATTTTACTAAGGGTAAGGGAGATATCAGTACTAGGTGCCTCCGTTTTAGCTCTTTACAGGGATTTTGGGTAGACCATTTGGCACCAGGCTTTCATTACAAAAGCATTGATCTCGTTGTGGCGTCCCTTGAAAGCAATTGGTGATGCACATTTAGTGATGCTTCACCGGCAAATGGATGGTGGACGCAAACCTCCATGATGTCGACCAAAGGGTCCCCACGTAAACATCATTATGGGTAGCCTTTGCAGGTTGGTTTAGAGGGAAATCAAGAGGCAACCCGAAGCCATTTTTGGACCCCCCCTATTACCCCTATTTTGACCTTTACCTGCATTGGCTACGATTCTTGTTGGGGAACCACCTCAAAAGCGGCTGATGGACAGTTTCTCCCCACCAGATTTGATGTCTACCACAAAGTCCCTTGCTGTGGATGGTTCCAAAATCCACAAAACGCACCATTCGGGACTGGTCTATGAACCATTTCTAGGATTTCATCCCCATCCCGAGTGATTTTACGCCCACAGCGAAGCCCAAAGCCTACGTAAGAGGGCGGCTTGACGGGACTCGCGAGGTGGTCGCGATCGCCCACAAGCCGCACGGAGGCCCAGGTTGGAGTTCACGCAGGGAGTCTCCCCGGGCATGGGACACTGCAGATGGTTGCACCACTTTGAAACAATGGTTAAAACCGTTGCTGGATTATGAACTTACGTTGGGGAATCGAATCATTCCCTTGCGTTTCGGAACGGAGTGACAAGGATCTTGCAACCATTCGCAGCAGGTTTTGGGTTGTGGGTGGGAGTGGGGGGCTTGGGCTTTGTGAGCTGTTTGCAGACATCATTCTGCAGAATTTATGGGTTTGGGCGATTCCACCCATTCGGGTAAAGCGAATGAACGCCATGAAGGTCCTTTATACTGACAAGGGGTGTTCGCTTGTCCTTTTCCGAGGTCCAGGGGCCCAACTTCTCCTGTGACCCAAAGGTCCAGTCAACTCAAGTTCATACCCATAGGCATATATGACTGGCTGGGCCACAAGAAATTCTAGCCTTGGGAGAATATCAAGCGAACGGTCACAACAAGGTGAACTTGCAGCATTTTTCAAGCATTCATCACCTATGATAGACATATTCATCCGCAGCACTCGCAGAGAGAACAATGCAGTATCGCAGCTTCAGAAAAAGAAAGCACGCCATTTCTTGCGTCCATGGCTTCGGATTCAGGTCTTACCCTGTTAGCGGGAAAAGCTATTTTGAGACTGGGCCTTTTTTGGTGTGCCTGGTATTTCTAGGCCCTCTGGCCTTTTGTGACTGATCACTTCCTTGCATCACCAACTGGGAATACGGGATGCCTATGAGAGAAGCCTTCATCATGGGTGACGTGGCAAAACCATCTAGGCAAATCAGAATCAACGGGAAGCTTGTTTTCCCAGCCTGCAGTGGGTCTTTTTTTGACCTGTCTTGGCGTTCACAAAAAAAAAGCGAGGTCAGCCCATGGTTCCACCAAACAAATCCAGCCGCGCAATGCTTCTTGCTGAGGACCCACCCTGTATAGAGCAGCCTCAAAGGCACAAGGCTCTAAGGCTTAAGGTGTGGACACATGCGCCCCCGCCCAGTACCAGTTTTGATGGCCAGGTCTTTCCTTTGCTATGCCTTCGCCTGGCTATGTCTTTACTTTGCTGTGCCTTTGCCAGTCATTCGGGTTGTCCGTAATTTAAACGTTTCTCATCTAAGGCTCAACTCCGCACCCATGCTCATCATTCCTTGTGGGTTAATTAGTGCTTGCTTGCTGCGGTGAAGTATATTCGCTTTCGTGCTCAAAATGAAACATGCTTGCACGTTTGAGCGATGCCAAGCAAGCCACTAGCCATTTACCGTTCCGTCATCTCAACCAACAAGACAGGACTTGCTGCAGTTATTTCCGGTGATCATCAAGCGATACCCCTTGTAGCTTAGAAGCGCGGTCAAGATGCCTTCTACATCTGACCTATTCGAGCAGTGGCCCTGTTCAAGGACCACGAAATGCAAGCGTAGGTTCGAAGCTCAGCCCCTTGAAACAAGTAAAATCGTATGGCCACTGTCATTTGCTCAGGGTTTGGCGCACAATCTCCCCTCCAATGGATCCCCTTAGCAAGACGTTAACAAGCTCTCGGTCAGCTCTTCAGGAATTGCAACACCCATCTGGCATATCACTGTATAACATTCGACCCCGTGCTAGCGAAATCGCTTGCTAAGATCCCCCCCCTTTCAACATGGCGCTCGCTTTGCTTTTCGCCGAGGCCCAAGCTGCGAAACCGCGACGGGCGCGAAGGCACAAGAAGGAGCAGAAGGACCCGCCGACCTGCCAGGCGATGGAACCACTACCCTGGAAGGATCCGAAACGTTATGGGTTTCAACCAAGGTTTCATTTTGTGGTGCGAGAAGCAGATTTGGCAACCATCCACAGTAGGGACGCTCCATTTTCATTCTTCGGACATCACCTTGGGGGCCCCGTTCCTTCGGGAGTTGGGGGCCAACATCAAAACTGCTGCTGCTGCGGTTGTCGCAGCCTCCAGTGATAGTGATGACGCAGGCAGCAGTCTCCAAAGGATATGGCAAAGGAAAAGGAAAGCAGTGCAGGAGCACGGGCTGGAAGAGCAAATGGTGAATCCAGACATCAGCACATCGGTTCACAGTCTTTGAAATGTCACACGGGTGACAAGTCGCTCGACCATCAACCATCATCACAAGCTGATTTTGCAACAAAAGTTAGTATAGGAACCAAGAGAACGACCCACAGAGGGAGCTTCTGAAATTTCCTCCAGCACTATTATACGCTTTTTGTGTGCACCCCAGATGTGGGCCAAGGTTGGTCCGCTGTGACCTGATTCGATTTCCGCAGGAGGTGAGCGACCTCCGCTGTGAACTACGAGCCCGGGGAAAGGAGGCGAAGCGCGGTTTGCAGATGTGAGCGGTGGTGTCTTTGAGGTTGGATCCCCCAAAATGGTACCCTCAAAAAAGAGGGCAGCCGGGAGGAAAGCCAGCCCGCCAGCCCATGGCATCCCCTGTTTCTGCAAGGGCTAAACAGACTGTAGTTTGTCCTTGAACATGAATGAGCCTCCATTTCCAATTGAACCTTGACCCACAAGGTGTACTTTTGCCAAGGCCTTGAGCCACGGATTGCCCATTGTTTCCAGAACAAGCATGACATTTCCGCACAGGGGAAGGACACCAAAAGGGTGGAGAAAACGATTGTGGGCGTCTACTTCAGGAAGGCATGGGTATCAGAGTAGTGATACATCTGTGAATCTCTTCCTTCCGACCCCTCTTGTAGGGAAAAGGATCCCCGCGCGGAGAGTTTCTCTTTAGTGGCCGGGGTCCTTGTATGTTTCCACCAGCGAGCTCATGCAGGGAATTCTCCACATGATTTGGGCCCCGTTCCGGTGGTTGCTTTCGGCACAGGGCTCAAAAGGGAACCCCGGCCACTTTTATGGACAAGTCATGGAACAACAGACTTTTTGAAGCCCCAACGGAGTCGACATTCGAGCCGGGTTGACCGTTTGGTCCCCCCCCCCGCTTTCTCGGACCACCAGTCCCTTTGAAAGCCAAACAAGCTGCGCGGATGCTTCCCCGACACTTTCATAGAACTTTTAGGGGACTCCCGCTGGGGTAGGTGGTTTATCCCATTATTGATAGGGCTTCGTATATCCCAAGTGGTGCAGGATTTTGTCCACCCACAGTATGGGCGAATGGTGACCATTGCCTTTGTTTTAATGCAGTTCCCAACCCCCGACTTGTCGCTGCTTTTTGCGAGCAACCCTGTCAAATGCCTTTGGAGGATTTGTTGTTGCGAAGGCCTTGGGGGTGTCTGTTTTGAGGGTACCCTTTTCGTGATTTGCAAGGGAAGGCAAAGGAAAGCCCACAATTAGGCGGGCCCCCTTTTTAAAAATGCACCTTGGATGAAGCCCCGTGTTTTGGCACGTGTCTTCTTTTTCTTCGCTTGTGCTCGTGGGTCCGTAGTCAGACCCCAAGCTGCACCCCCTGCCCTTTTCTGTTTCCCCCCAACAAATCGACCCCAACTGTACGGAAGCCAGCGATGTGGATTGGGGGTTAGTGTTCTGGATCCTATGACCGCTTCCGGTGGCTCGAGCCAGGGTCAGGGTTCTAACCCCAGTTATGTGTCCGCTACTCTGTTGGATGGTACGAAATCCATTTCGCAACACCGTTCAGAAACCAAGAAAAATCCGAATACCCTGTAAATACCAACACGAAATGGTTTCAGCCATGGCTTCAATTTGGCACGAAATGGATTTCACAACCATCTGCATAGGGCAGAACCATGGTAACTAGGATAGTAGAGCACTCCAAGCATTACCCACCTGGAACCGAGTTAAGGGATTCCCCAATGTAAATACCAACAGGTACAGTACGTTATGGTTTCATTCCCATAGTCCCAAAGTGGTGCGAGACTCGCGGATTTCACATCACCATCAGTATGTGGGGTTGAACATCCAAGTGGATTTTTTTGAGATGAGTGTTTTTTGTTTTTGTCTTTTTGCCCTCCCGCGAGAAGCGAGAATAAAACGAGTCGCCGAGCAGGTGATGAGCGAGGTGGCTCAAGGCTGCGCCAAGGCTTGGAAGGTCGTCTGTCTCGCTTACGCGGGGGAAACTGGGGGGGGTCCGCAAATGGAGCTGGGAATGAGTTGGGTTCTGAACCATCCCCGATGGGATCCTTTGAGGGAATCCCTAAGCACCAGCCAGTATTGGAGATCTCCCGGAATCACCTGGCTTCCCAATTAGAATAATTGGGAGCACGGGGGCGAGAGGGGAGGGGGGAGCCCGAATTGGCTCATATTCATGGCTTAATAAGGCCTTTTTTGGCCCCACCGCCCCTCCTTCCCGTCCAGCCCTGCTGAATTTGTGTTTTGTCTTGGTGGTTACAAGAGTCAAGGTATCCAAATTCCTTAAAGAAGCCAAGAAGCTACCAGGAGTGGAAGGACATGGTAATTTCCTTGATTTTCCTGAAAGACCCGCTTGATCAAACACTGTGGGTGTGGGGGGGAGAACTACACAGGGCTGTTCAATTTTTAGAATGTGGTGGTGGGGTACTATAAAACTTTATATCTAGTTGGACGCTTGCACTTCATAAACTCGGCGGTTCCCAGCCGTCCCCTTACAATTTTATGTTTTTTACGGTTTAGTCACGGGGCTTTCATTTAACTCACAAGTTATACTTTTAGCAGGGGACAGAATACGGACAGCCCAGTAAAATCCCCACTGTTACACCCAGCAAGGCTATTGCTTCAATCAGACGCTCCTAAAAAGGTGCCCTGAGGAACCGCCCTTGGGTGGGACACGGGCGGGATCGGAACCCGTCCAAAAGAATGATTGGTTGGTTGCCGGGGAAGACGCGCGTTCCAAACGAAGTCCCCGCTTGAAACAGGATTGCATCTCATGTTTTCGGTCACCTTCTTTTGAGGCCGTATGATTCGAGAAGTGCACACATACCGTGGGTGGTTGTGAAGTCCACTTCGCACCACTTGGAATAGATGAAATCCCATAACTAATGATATAAACCACCAGGAAGCCAACTGGTGCAGGATTTCGTACCCCTCTAAACATGAAGGCCTCTTGTTGGACCACAAACCGTTTCGGTCTCCCGGATCTCCGGATTCGGTGGTCGGAGCCATGCCGTAGGCTGCAAATCTGGGTGGTTCTTCCTTTTCAGGAGTCGGACCGAGCACCAAAAAAAGCGACAAGCCCATTTGGACATTTGGGTTGGACATTTAAACTGGCGAACCCTTTGGTGGACATCATCTAGGGGAGAAACGTGTCCACCAACCACTTTTGAGGTGGTTCCAAGCTCTCAATCATCTTTCCCATATGAGTGCTCAAAGCGGCGGACCCCCAAGATTTGTTGGTCTCTTCGAACCAGACAAATGATGAACATCCACCAACCACTCTTAAATGGTTTATTCTTAAGTCGTAGCCATACTGTGGATTGACGAAATCCATTGCGCACCACTGTTCAGAAACCCTGGAATGATTCGAATCCCCTGTAAGTGCCCACAAACAAGGGTTTCAATCCCCTGGTGACTCATTTCGTGGCGCGAGGCTCGCGGATTTTGTATCCCACGGCATGTTTCCGGACCTCGACTCACCGTCGGACGAATCCGACCACGACTCACCCGAGCCGGAGGCAAAGTCACGACCCAGCGAGCTTCGCGCACCACCGGGGCTGACCCTCTTGCCAGAGAAGCCGGAGGCGCGGATGAGCCGAGAACCGAAAACGAGCCGAAAGCGAGCTGTGAGGGGTGGGAGCTTCATTTTGTTTAAACGAAAGGACGGAGAGCAGAGGTGTGTTACCCTCCCACTGGAACCTGACCTTTTGAGGCTCCCGTTAAAAGGAGAATGGTCCAAATCAGGACTCCCCGAAAGGTCAGGATTCATGTTAATTGGTGGGAGGTAGTTTGACTGTTTAGAATTGTAGCAAAAGGTCACCTGTGACGGAGAAATGAGGTATCGGGGGTCTCAGACAATTGTCAAATCCCTTGAACCTGGGGCTTTCCCCAAAATGATTGTAGATTTTGGGGGTTGACGACGCAAGGTCTCGAAGTTTGGGTTTCATGGGGTTCAGTTGGATTTCCTTCTTCTGGGATCTCTTGTGACATTAAAGGGGAACCAACAAAAACACGCACCGATTGTGGGTCCCCGAAAAAGCACAAACACAAACACCCCGTTTGCGTGTTGAGGATCACCAAATGTCTTGCGACTGGCGAATCGGCGAACGATTTGGGCACAAGGATTTGGGAGCCAGCATGGCCCTACAAAGGCTCGCCTCGGGATTCTATTTCCGGCGGAATTTGCTGGACGTGTCTATGATTCTTGGTGTGCCTTGCTTGAGGCTCCGTACCCTGTTTGGAGCTGTTGGAAAGGAAGCCCAAAGAATACCAAAGCTCATTTTGGTGGTTCCATATCCTAAGGGAGTATTGTTTTCAACTGGAATTCGGCATTTTGAGGGAAACCAAAAAGGACACCAAACATTCATTTGGGCCCCCCTACTGTGGATGGACGAAGTAGTGCACCACTTGAAAACCATGGTTGAAACCATTGTTGGTGTGCACCGGGAAATCAGAATCACCGCTGCAGGGTTTGGTGGCGCGAAATGATTTTCGTGCATCCACAGTATGTTGAGAGACGCCCAAGGGGAGGCCAAACAGATTGAACAATGCTGACTGCAATTGAAGGTCAATCCAGATCACATTTTTGAAGCATCTCACCCACAAATTCGTCCACATCCACCAATCCGAGCTTTGCGATTAGGTTGTTTCAAAAAGTCTGCGCTCGCATCACGCCATGCCACGCATGCCGGCACGTGGGCAGCTCAAAAAAGTCTGCACTCAAATCATGCCACGCCGCTATCTATAGGCGCTCTGAGAGTGCCACCACGCCATTCGCGCTCTCGGTCAAACAAGCGGGCGTTCACCAGCCCCAGCCGCAGCGACTTTGTCTGCAGCTGCTGAAAGGCCCTTGCAGCCAAGCCAGCTTCTCACTTCGCAGCAGATTTCAGCTGCTTGGATCAAGGCAGAGTAGCGCCGCAAAGCAGAAACCGCCAAGAACGGCGCGGATTGCTGCCGCCCTGCGCTACCCGGAAAAACGAATTGACACGGGAGACCACAGCGCGAAGAGCGAACTGTTTGTAGGTTGCCTTGCGCTCTCTGACATGGCCTTCCTCTGACATTAGACGGAGACCATCTGTCCTGAAGCAGTTATGTCGCTTTGCGTGGCAGGTGCAAGGGCTCCACTAGGCCGTGTCACCAAAAACACGCAATATGTCCGCCTTTCTATGGAATTGTTTTTTTTTGGAGTACCCCAGATATAAATTTGTCCTAATGGCATGGACGAAATCCTGCACACTTTGAGACCATGGTTGAAGCCGTGGAAGGCATTGTTTGTTGGTATTTACAGGGG